TATTAGAGGTTTATAGTATTATGAATAATGTAATGCAAAGATATACAAACTGAGGACCTAAAGCTACATGCAAACTTAGGAATGCCTCCAGAAATTTGCCAGAAGTTGAAAACTGGAAGAAAGAGATAATTTTTCTCTGTAAACTGCCCAGAGATGCTTTTTAACGAGATGGGTGGTGACAAATTTGATAAATAAATAAATAAATAAATAAATAATACTAACTGTAGTTAAATTAAAATCAAATCAAATAACCAGGGTTACTTGGTTAATAAATTTTTGATAAAAAACAAACTCCTGACTCTACTCCTAGACAACCTGACCCTGAGAGAGCACTGACTTCACTGACATACTGTAAGGAATAAAACCGTAGGACAAATAGGTGAAGGAGTGGATGATTATGTGGGAATGTACTTTGGGGAGAAGGGTATACTTCAGGCCTACTTGACATACAGCCCATGGCCACATGCAGCCTGCGAAGGAGCCTTGTTGGCCTGCTGGTATTTTTAAAAAAGCAATAAATTTGCCACCACTGCTCCAAAAGACACGCTCCTTCTCTCTGCCGCCACCAGCTCTAGAGTCCTGCCTCTTCACTAGCCATCAAACAGCTGATTGGCACGCAAGGGATTCCTTTGTAATCTGCAATGATTTTTTATTTAGCAATGTGGCCCTTTCTCCTCTACTGGTTGTGCAAGGCCTGCTGTACTTGAAAGTAGGCTATTGCTGCCAAGTGAGCTTGCTCTGGTCATCAGAGCTGACAAGTGGATGCTGGGAGCATTCAGTATTTAGCTTCTACCAGGTAACATTCATATCCTGGAGTAACTTCTGTGATAGCCCAACTTTGGACATTCTGTGCCTTGTCTCTTTGAAACATAACTCTGAAAAAGTGTTATCTGCATCAATATTTTTAGTACTGAGTTCAAAACCAATAAGGAAATTTCTGCTTGAGTGGTCTCCTCACAAATAAGTAAGTATGGAATAATGTAATCCATCCGGCAAAGTGAGCTGGAGGATTATGCTGTACTTGAGTGTGATGCTAAACAGCATGAGAAAATGTCGCAACACTTCTACAGATTAGACTGGTATAATTATACTGATTGATACTTGCCAGATTGCTTCATAAGGATAAAAATTCTCAGCTTATACACACAAGTATGCACACAAGGGTAGACAAGAAAACTGTCCTATTCTGCCAACATAAAGAAAAGAAGAAGAAACCAGTATAGATTTCAGACAAAGATTCTTCCAGAGCCATTTATGAGGGTACTTTAGAATAGACATAAGCTATTCTACATGCTAAGTATGCTTCTGCCCACTTTTTCTTCTAATTCTTCCCAATATATGGATAGTATTAGAAATAACACTGGAATTCCAATTAAATCTGGTGATCATTCAAAGAATAAAAGTTTTAAGTACATTTGTTAAAGATTGCAATCCCCAACAGAACCAATCTCTACGTGAGAGAAACATGTCAACAAAGACTGGCTTTTCCTAGAAACCCCCATAAACACCTCATGGAACAATTCTGATTATATTTTGTATCATCTGTTTATACAACTGAAGTCCCTCAACACAGATTACAGAAAATATAAAACAATATTGCGTTGTTTAAAGCATTATCGTACATTTTCAGTATTTCTGTAAGTTTGTCTCTGCTTCATTTCTCTGTCTTTTGTCATGCTCTTACCTCAGTTTAATATTGTATAGGACTGATAACAATTGAGTCACCCTATAGGTATGAAATTTCCTTTGATTCCAGCCAATCTTCAACACTCAGTTCAAATAGGACAAAATAAAACACCTGAACACTTAGGCTCAACTTGATCTGCATATGAAAAAGGTCATATAACAAGGTATTCGACATTGTAGCAAAACAGAGATGGCAAATACCAGACATTCCAGCTGTAGTTATAGAACCAGAATTATCTAAATATTGCAAACTTAGAAAATAGGGGAGAACTTACATGATGGGAATCCAAAACTCTTTTTTAGTGACAGTTTTTTAAAAATATATTTTTGGCAATTATTCCCTCCAGTTTCTTTCCCAATATTCAATCAATAATTATTTTCAAATAAAAAGAAAAAAACAACAACCACAGACTTCATTCTTTTCGAATTAAATAAATGTCTGCCATTTCCAATAAACAAAACATGACTAAAGTGTGATCAGGAATGGAGGGCAAAGCTCACTGCTTTTGAATGGGCAAAACAAAGTATTAATTTTATAAAAGAAATAGCTCCAGATATTGCCCTTTTCTGTGACTTCCTCCAAGCTTTTTCAGTGGTTGTGTGTCTTGTCTTTTTATTCTATGTGAATACAAAGGAGTTCTAGACCCACTGGAATGTTAGCTGTTCTTGTTTGTTATCTGCTGTTAAAGAGAAATATTTATTTATCATTTGTAACTGAGCCAGCTATTATGAACTTGCAGTATGCTACATTTATTTAACTAGAAAAAAGAGCCTTTTTTACACTTTCCATAACTGCCCTATAATACAAAACATTTCAAAATGAGAACCAGCAGCGACATAATATTATGCTTTCTCTCCTATGCATATTCTCTAAGTAAATTTACTTTTTTAAAAAATTGGGTATAAATACAAATACACAATGGCTATACACACTCAGACATATTGATGTATTCACACAAAATTCCATCCTCAGCCAAGGCAGCTCACTGGATAAATATTTGATGGATTTTACAAATGTGGAGTAATAAATTTTACTTTGACAGAAGTGCAAAGTTAGAGAAGGCATGAAGTGATACCATATTACTTATTTTTAATCTTGTTTGGGATTAAAAATAATTTTACAAAAGAAGGAGGAGGAGGAGGAGGAAGAGGAA